GTCTCGACGGATTGCTGGGCGTGTTGTTGGGCCGCAGGGTGGCCTTCCAGGATTGGGAAGTTCTGTTGCTTTGGATCGGCGGCGGTGGGGTGGTCTTTGCCAACTGCAGCTGCTCGAGTCAACTTGTTGTAGCCCTGGCGCAACCAGTTGGCGCTGCTCTTCCTCATGGTATGATCTCTGTTTTTCGTTTTTTTTCCACGGAATCTGTTCTCTGTTTACCTTTGCTTCACAGGCGCATTTTGCCGAGCAGCTTGCAAGCGGTGGCAAGATGTTGGGCGTAGATGACAAGAGAGAGGAGAGGAGAGGAGAGGAGAGCCACGTGGGTTGAATTGGTGCAACGTGTTGGAGCTGGGAAGTGTGGGAGTGCAACGTTCTTTTTTTCTTTTTTCTCCCAAATATATAATTAGGGTAAATGACACAGTTGATCGCTGAAATTACTAAAACGTGTAGGATGCGGAGATTTGAGATATGCTCATCTTCCTCAAGGCTATCGTTTCCCGCTGATTCATCGTCTTTTTCTTCCACTTCTCTATGACGGCTAGGGATGCGGAGATTAGAGATATGCTCATCTTCCTCCCTCACGGCTATCGTTTCTTGGTCTTCTGGTCTCTTAGCTTTTATTGGGAGGCAACGAAGGTTTTCCGATCTAGAAAAATAAAAAGATGGCAATGATTTTCTGCAGTTAGCAAGTGGATTTGTAATTCGGATGGTGAAAAGGAAATGGACAGATCTAAAGTTAGAGTTCAAATTCTGCAGGTGGATTTGATGAACGGTGCGGATGGATTTGAGGTTTTTTATTTTCTGAGTGAGAAAAATGGAAAAGAGAGAATGACGAGAGAGGCAGAGAAGAGTGGTCCACCATGGGTCATGGGTTAGGATATGGGTTGGGTTAGGGTTGTAATGACATGGCGAGTTTTAATGATGTAGTGGGTCGGGTTTAGAGTTTTTGGGTTAAATATGGCTAATTAGGCGATCTTGTTTACTAACGGAGTTGGACGGAGACTAACGGAGAATGACAAGCATGACAAGTTTTACTAAATTTAGTGACCATTATTGATATTAATTTTTTCAATGACTAAACATGATACATTTTAGTAAACCCAGTGACCAAACGTGGTATTTATCCTATATAATTAGCATAAGGAACAGGGGATAAGATTTCTATACAAATTGGAAGACTTTTTAGACAAGCGTAATAATACATAAGAGAAAGGGTTGACGGTCAACAATTAGCAGAACAATCGATAGAGAGCCTTTTTTGTCACGTACGGGTAGCTTGTTGATACTTATACGGTCATGACTTCTACCTTATAAAGATGAAAATCATTGAACTAACCATACTGAAAACTGAAGCAACAAAATAAATTATTGCTACTTAGGGACAGTGGCGGATCCATAAATTTTATATAGGAGTGTCCTCTTCTAAAAATTAAATATAATTAAAAATTAAATAAGTATTAAATATGAAAATATTCGACTAATTTTTACAATAAAAGTTTAGACGTAATTCCTAATTCCAATTATGAAAAAAATTATAACATACATTTGATGTCTAGCTACACTACTCAACAAATCTCTCTCGACATATCGTATTAGGCAAGGGTAGCTCGTAATTGGGGTTAATCGTTAGGTTAGTAAAATAATTGGGGATAAAATAGCCTTTTACTATTATATTTGGATCTAAAACATAAAAAATTAGTTGTAGACTAATTGAAAATATGTAATAGTGCGCCAAGTTCAAAACACAACTACCATTTAAATATTGTTTGTACCAATACACAAACTACTACAGGAGGTTGGATAATCAATTTCCTAAATTTTAAGGGTGTCCTGCTAGCACTTACATATTTTATTTTTACCTATACGCAAAATACTATCAGATTGGTCTGGTGCGGTCCCGGCCCGAACCATTGCACACCCCTATTTCCTGTTATGAAAAAATGGTAAAATACATTTGGTGTCTAGCTACAATGCTCAACAAATCTCTCTCAACATATCGTATTCGGCAAGGGTAGTTTGTAATTGGGATTAATCGTTAGGTCTGTAAAATAGTTGGTGATAAGAATAGTCCTTTACTATTATATTTGGATCTAAAACATACCAACAAATTAGTTGTAGCTAGTCTAATTGAAAATATGTAATACTGCGCCAAGTTCAAATCACAACTACCACTTAAATATTGTTTGTACCAATATACAAACTACTACAGGAGGTTGGATGACCCTTTTCCCAAATTTCAAGCGTGTCCCGCTACCACTTAAATATTTTTTTTACCTATATGCAAACTCGCAAACTACTATCATATTGGTCTGGTGCAGTCCGGTCCCGGATCGGACCATTGCACACCCCTATTTCATATTATGCAAAAAATGGTAAGATACATTTGGTGTCTAGCTACACTGCTCAACAAATCTCTCTCGACATATCGTATAAGGCAAGGGTAGCTCGTAATTGGGGTTAATCATTAGGTTTGTAAATAATTGGGGATAAGAATAACCTTTTACTATTATATTTGGATCTAAAACATAACAACAAATTAGTTATAGTCTAATTGAAAATATGTAATAGTACACCAAGTTCAAATCACAACTACCACTAAATTATTGTTTGTACCAATATACAAACTATTACAGGAGGTTGGATAATCCTTTTCCCAAAATTTAAGGGTGTTCCACTACTACTTAAATATTTTTTTACCTATATGCAAACTATTATCAGAGGTTGGATAATCATTTTTCCAAATTTTAGGTACAATTCTAAACCTCCATGTATCCGTCACTGCTCATGGAGGTCCTTGAATGCCAATCTTGAATCTTGGCTCCTTTTCGGCATGGGAGAATCCCTTGCTGAACTTCAACCCTTTGCAGAGAGAAAATTAGAGATCAAACACGAACCCCTATAAAACAAACAAAAAAATAATAATAATGCGAACAACATGAATCGCAAATTCGGAACGCTGAGCTACACCAACATGAGATATAATTCCTGCAAAGACTCAAACCATAGTGTTAGTTTAACATTATATAGGAAGAGGAATTTTACAATGCTATATAGTATTGGTGCTATAGGTTTTTGTCTTTATGGCATGGTCCATGAAACCGTATCGGAGACCGTATCGGGAAAGTCAGCGGTAGGGTATTTTATGATAAAATCGTGGTTTAATCGTAGTTCAACCGTTATACAGGTAAATACCGCCTACCGGTTTAGCCTCTGATACTGGTATTTCGTGGTTGAACCGTCGGTGCGGTACGGTTCCATGGACACTGCTTTATGGTACAGCTTGAAATTGTACCTTTACGTTACGATACAACTTCAGATTGTACCTATACTTTTTGTACAAATTCTTTTATGGTACAACTTGAACTTGTACCTTTATGTGATGGTACAACTTCAAGTTGTAAAGTTGTACCATAACATAATGATACAAATTCTTTTATTGCACAACCTAAACTTATACATTTAATGTTATGGTACAACTTCAAGTTATATATTAAAGCACCAATAAATCTACCTAGGGAAAAAATATGTAACTTATAGAGAGGTTTTAACAACTCTATTTGAACAAAAAAATAGGCTAGGTTCTCGTTCAATTAATAAAGTCTAGCTACATACTAGAATGTACTCCCCTAAGAGGTTTAACTCATAGAGAGAGAAGAAAATACAAATTAGAAGAAGAGGAAGAACTTGAATGGATTCCTCCTTGGATTGCACCCTTCTCCTTAGTTCTTGGATGGATTCATCCTTCTCAACCTCTTCCAAGTCAGTTTATCTCTCTAAAACTCTACGAAAATCCAATTTCTCACTCTAAAATGGCTCATCTGGCTTGCTTCAGCTGCGATATGGGATTTGCGTTTGCCTTATTCCCTAGTTTGCACCAATGTGATGCAAATGTGCCCAAATGAAATCCAAATCGATTCCTGATCGATTGTAAACATGTATAAGACCTGACTATCATCACAAACACCAAAAACGCATAAAATGACAAAGTGGGGTGATTTTCTCAGTGAAAACATTGATAACAATCTAACTTAATTTTGTTAAACTAAAGATTAACGAATATGAACCAATATTAGGATAAACTAACTTGAAATGTGGCCTAGCTAGACAAGATGATTTAGGACATAAACGCCATGAGAATAGAGGTTAGATAAAACCAATTTAGGTGTTATCACCATAAATCAAATAAAGCTTACCACAGGTTCGCTGAAGCATACTAGAAAGTAGAAACATCATAAATCAGATCACTAGTTTATTTAAGCGGGTCACAAGTTTCTTAAAGCATAACAGAAATCTCATAAAGCAAACCACGAGTCTCTTGAAGCATATCAGAAACCTTATAAGCATACCACAAGTTTCTTAAAGTAGACCAGAAACCTCATAAAACACACCAAAAGTCATTTGAAGTATATCAGAAATCTCATAAAGCAGACCACAAGTGAAGCATATAAAAAAACCTCATAAAGCATATCAAAAGTTTATTGAAGTCACTATATATATAATCAAGAATTATACACCCTTTCCACACAAAAAAAAAAGAATTATACACCCACTACAAAAAAAATGAGGCTATGGCAAGGGGTTTTTTAACCTATACCAAGGGTTTTAACCCCTGCTACAAGTTGTAGTAAGGGTTTTTTTTTTAATGAGTAAGTTGTAGGAAGGGTTTACCCAACCCTGGCACGAACCTTTGACAATGCTGCCCCTGCTAGACGTAGCAAGGGTTTTAAGCAACCCTTGGTGAAAGTCCCATGCAGGGGTTGTAGCAAGGGTTTGAACCCTTGCTACATGTCAATGCGAGAACATATTCATAGCATGGGTTGTAATCCTTGATAAGTGAGTCGCTAAATATAGTGTAGCTAAAATGAAAATTTGCTAGTAGCAAGGGTTAAAACCCTTGCTTAGTTCGTCACTAAAGGTCAATTAATGTTTTGCGTCACATCCAAAATCGTCACTAAAGTTTTATTCTAAAGAAAGGTGCTTCATTAGTAATGACACTCTGGTTACAAATACTGGAATTCTAGTCATTATATTATTGTAAATCATCGTTGGTTACAAATGCACCGTCACTAAAGAGAGGTGCCTCATTAGCAACAACACTTTCATTACAAATATATATTCCGGTCACTGTTCAAACATCATGATATAACTGATGTAACCTATTTTCTAACAACAACCAGCTCAACATTCTGGTCATAAAGAGAGGAGATCACACATAAAACTGAAAGTCTATTACTTTGTAACTATGAAACCTCAAAGTGGTTAAGGAACCTACAATAAGACCATGCTCTTCTCGGAGCTCGTCGATTCCAATGAACCCATATTCTGCAACCCAAACCTGCATAAAACAAGAAAACACAGTAGAAAAAAGCAGGGCAGAGAGACAGGGGAGGGGATTTATCGAGGAAAGAAGCAAAAGAAGACGACGGCAGGAAGAATGATTCAAGGGGCTGAGAAGCGCCACCTCGATGGGTCTGAAGCAGGACAGTACCCAAACATCGCGGTCGCAGCTAGCACACACTGCCATGGTGTTTCTGAAAGTCAGTAGCCGGCCAGTATAACAACCATTCCCAGGATAAATATTTTGCCATAATCAAACACTGCTACTTGTATTGATTCTCTACCAAACCTTACTTTTTTTGTCCCAACATGATAGTGAAAGATTGGATTCCGAAGTCCCTGTCTCCATCCAGGTCAGGTATGTCCTACAATGTAACAAAATGAAAAGTATTGCACCAGAAGTTAACTTACATATAACTAGCGACAAAGCAAACCCATTTGGGAAATTCATTTCTGTTTAGGGATTTGTTTGGACCTTGAAGAGTGCAATGGCAACTAAGAAGAAGCACATGAAAGCCATATTTGTACAGATTTCCTTCTTATTACTATAAGGATATGTGTTATATGACATAGAAAAACCAGGAACTAAGAGAATAAGTGTACCTGCATGTGTATGAAGATAGTTAATTGGACGAGACTGCCCTCACGATCAAGATGCAACTAGCTGCCAGAAATGCATGCCTCTTCCATCTCATAAGCAGAAGCTATATGTAACACCAAACTTAAATGATTAAGCTTTCAACTAAACCTTGTTCATATAATAATGATGCAAAGGGTTAATGCAAAAGTAAGTTTACTTCAACAGAGTATGCCCTCCCAAGCAGAAAGCTAATGAGCAAGGCAGACAAAGGAAGAGGGGTGATAGACCGTCATTTACACATGTTTTTACCCTCATACTTACACCGTTTGAGGTGTTGATTCTCGTGTTTTAGGCCGATTTCACGCTAGGTTGTGCTTGTTTGTGTTATTTCAGGACCTAGTACGTGAATGAAGGCTTAGGAGCGAGTCTGGGGTCGATTGGACGCAGAACGGACGAAGGGCGAGCTTTTTGGGGAGTGCACGGGCAGACCAGGAGGCTGCACGGCCGTGCACTTGAGCCATTTGGCCGTGCACCTCATGTCGAGGCCATGCACGGCCAGACCCTGAAGATTGCACGGCCGTGCGCCTGACCGTGCAAGGTGGATGAAGGCCGAATAATTGATACGGTGCGTTTTGAGGGTGCACGGCCAGAATGGTGTTGTGCACGGCCGTGCACCTGACCGTGCAACTCGGGAAAGTCGGTTTTAAAGCCTAATTCGAGCCAAAAGTGGGAAAATCGTGTTTTCAGAGCAAAAACAGAGCCCTAGAGAGAAAGTGCGAAGAACTCATCCTAGAAGCCGTCTAAGAGCTGGATTTCATCGAATCGAGCTTGGAGATCGTCATAGGAGTGGAAATCATCGTCCCGGAGCAGATTATCCTCATCGTTATGAGTATGACTAATCCGATTCTTGTTTTCTCTTCTCTCTCTATGGAGTAGAACCCTTCTCTCACTTGGGTATGAAGAACCCTAGTTCCTTGTGTTAGGGATTTGATTGTAAAGACTTGGGATGATATCACTGCTTGATTTTAATCGAATGACGCATGTTTCATGAATTGATTTGAGTCTGATCAGCTTGTCTCAATTTCTGCTTCAACCTGAGATAGATAGAATCTGATTAGGTTGTTAGAGCCTCTTCATTCGATAGTAGGAGATTGGCTATACGAGAGTTAGCCAGTTGACTGCTTTGTACTGGTGTTCTTGGCGCCAGTAGTGGAGTTCTGTGTTCATAGCCTCAGCTTTCTATCCCGGTGAAGACTAGTCGTCTGCCGGGTAGTTAGACTGAGAGGGCTTGGTCAGCTTAAGAGATTCCAAGCTACTGTCGGATCTTCCGCAGTCTAATCAACAGTAAATCAACCCAGGGAATTGCAATTGAACCTAACTAAGGGGCTATGGGGACTCAATCCCGAGTGACTCTTGCCTGCTTTAGAAACCCGAACAATTTACTGCTTTCTTGTTGCTTTTACTTTTTACACCAATCACTCGACTTAGTTTGCTAGATAATAGAGAATCACGGAGTAAGCAGTAGATCTAGACCCCGGGTTGATAATTAAACTTGCCTATACTGCAGTCCCTTTCATTGGTTACACTTGGCCATTGTTAGGTGTTGTGTTTTAGCGTGTCAAGTTTTTGGCGCCGTTGCCGGGGACCCCTCTAGATTATTGGGGAAACGTGAGAATTTGTTACTCTAGCTTTTATTTACTGCATTTTATCTCTTCCACCTGTGTGCCTTCACGGGTTGCTTCTGCTGATTGTGTGCAGGTAGTGCATGACCCGTAGCCAGTCGGGAGATCTACTACCATTAGACCAGGAGCTTGAACGAACTTGCAGGAACTTCAAGCGGGCTCTAAAGGCGCGACTGGCTGCGGAGGAGGCGCTAACACAGCTGCAGTTAGGAGAAGAAGAAGAAGGAGAGATGGGTGATCCGCAGAACCATGCTGTGATCCCCGAGGAGCAAACCATGGGATCCTACTGGACCGCTAGGGCTGCGGACATGAGGTCCCCCATTCAACACCCTCAGGTCCCAGCCAACAACTTTGAGGTGAGCACCTCCGTGATCACCATGCTGCGCGGTTCAGTAGTGTTCCGTGGTAAGGAGGGAGAGTGCCCTCGATCACATCTCAGGCGATTCCACGAGCTCATCGATGGAATCAAGATCAATGGGGTACCGGCAGATGCCATCCAGCTGAGGTACTTCCCATTCACTCTGGAGGGGCAGGCCAAGGAGTGGCTAGACACTCGACCTCCGGGCTCCATCACCACGTTCGCCAACCTGGCGGACAAGTTCCTCACCCGCTACCATCCTCCATCCAAGACACCTAATCTCCAGAAGCAGATTACACATTTTTCTCAGGATGAGGATGAGACCATTCGGGATGCTTGGGAGAGGTACACCAGCCTCTTTCTCAGGTGTCCCAATCATGGTTTCAATGATGCATTCAAGGTGGGCACCTTCTATCACGCCCTTTTCCCGGAGGACAAGCAGCTGATTGATTCGGTTTGTGGCGGGAACATGCTGACAAAAACCCCGCCACAGCTGAATCAACTCTTTGAGGAGATGGCGGAGAACGGGTACGACTGGGGCACTGCCAGGAGATCGAGACGAGCAACTAGACGGGGTGTGCATGCTGTGGGCACCCAATCATCTGATTTGGTGCAGGTGGTATCGAAGCTGGTTTCAGCTATCGATCGTTCTGGTTTGATTGCAGGTACCGGACAGCCGCAGGCAATGCACTGCCAGTGGTGTGAGAGCTCTCATCACACCGTGGAGGACTGTCAGGCAATGAGGGAGTCGTCCACTCCCCAGGAGCAGGTGGACTTTATCGGGAATGCCAGCCGCTTTGACCCCTACAGCAACACCTATAACGAGGGGTGGCGCCAGCATCCTAACTTCTCCATACTGCAGTCCCTTTCATTGGTTTCCAGAGACCTCCATACCAGCCCAGACAGGGGCAATTTCAGCAGCAACAGCAGCCACTCTATCCGCCCAGACAGGGGCCAGTTCCACCTCAGTCGCAGGCACGACCATTTCCACAGGCAGGGGCAGCACCTGCAGCCCCAGTACAGATTGACCCGATGGCGGAACTGAGAGATCTGGTGGGTTCTCTGGCCACCTCCAGTGCAAGTAAATTCAATAACATGGAGCAGTTCATGGAGAAAGCTTCTGGCAAGTTCTTGGAGCTAGAAGCTGGTCAGAGAAACACGCAGGCTGTGCTGCGAGATATACAGACCCAGCTTGGTGGTGTTGCCCAGGCTGTTGCTCGGAGGACTCCAGGTACCTTGCCTGGTCAGACCATCCCTCACCCGCAGAACCAGGATGAAAACTGCAGTGCCATCACAACCAGGAGTGGCAAGGTGACTGCCGATCCACCTGTTCGGGCAGCGGAGAAAGAGACCCCTGCTTCAGCACTTCCAGCTAATCAGGAAGAAATGGAGACGGAGGTTGAGGTGCCTGCTCCTAAACCGCAACCAGTGGTGAAGGAGTATGTACCACAGCTTCCCTTTCCTACTCGGTTGCACAAGGACCGACTGGAGACTGAGTTTGCCAAATTCATGGCAATGCTGAAGCAGGTGAATATTAGCATGCCCTTCATGGAGGCATTATCGAAGATGCCCAAGTATGCCAAGTTCATGAAGGATCTCCTCACCAACAAGAGGAAGCTTGGGGAGCTGTCTACGGTGATGCTAAACGAGGAGTGTTCTGCAATCCTGCAGAACAAACTACCAGAGAAGCGAAAAGATCCAGGGAGTTTCACTATCCCTTGCATGATTGGTAGTTTGCATGTACGGAAGTCCTTGGCGGATTTAGGCGCTAGCATTAATGTCATGCCATATTCACTGTTTAAGAAGCTAGGCCTAGGTGAACCCAGTAATACTAGGATGAGCATCCAGCTTGCTGATAGATCTATTGTGCATCCTAGGGGTATAGCAGAGGACTTGATAGTCGCAGTAGGGCCATTTTCATATCCTGTTGATTTTGTGATTTTGGACATAAATGAGGATGTTGATGTGCCATTGATACTGGGTAGACCTTTTCTCGCCACCGCCAAGGCACTGATTGATGTTAATGATGGAAAGCTGATTTTGAGAGCTGGGGGTGAACAAATCACCTTCTCTGTTTCTGATAATATGAAACACCCCCAGCTCCATGATGATCTTGATTACTGTGATGTTGTTGCTGATTTTGAAACCGCACTCGCCATCACGAGTGCGGGTACTGATGATTTCCTCGAGCGTTGTCTTTTGCTAGGGGAACAGGCATCACAGGATGTGCAGCTGGCGGAGCTGGACGAGGCTGCGAGCGAGGGGCGAGAGCTGCCATTCAAGCCGATTCCTATCTCGCCCCGGCTCGCTACATCATTGGAGGAGCCACCAGAGTTGGAGCTTAAACCCCTCCCATCTCATCTGGAGTATGCATTTCTCCGGGAGGGGAATAAGCTCCCGGTTATTATTAGCTCGGATCTGACCCCCGAGCAGAAGAGCAGGCTGGTGGCTCTGTTGCAGAAGTATGCCCGGGCCATGGCATGGAAGATCACTGACATCAGAGGCATTAGCCCATCCTTCTGCTCTCACAGAATCTTGATGGAGGATGAGGTTAAGCCAGTCAGGCAGCCGCAGAGGAGATTGTCTCCTAACTTGGAGGCAGTGGTCCGGGCAGAGATCGTGAAGCTCATGGATGCAGGGATCATCTTTGCTATATCTGATAGCAAGTGGGTCAGCCCCACTCAGGTGGTCCCGAAGAAAGGCGGGATGACTGTGGTCCCGAACGAGAAGAAGGAGTTGATCCCGATGCGGACCGTGACCGGCTGGAGAGTCTGCATCGATTACCGGCGCCTGAACGACGCCACCAGGAAAGATCATTTTCCCCTACCTTTCATTGACCAGATGCTGGAGAGGTTGGCGGGCCATGAGTTCTATTGCTTCCTGGATGGCATGTCTGGGTACTTCCAGATTCCTATTGCACCGGAGGATCAGGAGAAGACCACATTCACTTGCCCCTTCGGCACTTTTGCTTACCGGAGGATTCCATTTGGGCTGTGTAACGCACCGGCGACCTTCCAGAGATGCATGCTGGCTATCTTTGACCGACTGGTTGGAGAGATCATGGAAGTCTTCATGGATGATTTCTCGGTATATGGAGATTCCTTCACTCATTGTCTCCATAACCTGGAACTCGTTCTGAAGAGGTGCGAGGAGACGAATCTGGCACTCAGCTGGGAGAAGTGCCATTTCATGGTTCGTGAGGGTATCGTGCTTGGGCACAAGATCTCCAAGAAGGGGAT